CATGTGAATACGGTGTTCACTGCAAGAAGTTATCAGACCCATGAACATCTACAGCATACACTTTTTTTCTTAAAAAATAAAAAAAATAACCAAATGAATGGGTTTTCATCCTGAGGGAAGGAGAGGAGTAGATGAATTTAAACAGGATATTGTTATAAAAACTGTGGTGCATGAGCATAATTATTTATTGGGGAAAAAAAAAAATCAAAAGAATTCTTGCAGCTCTTAAAACTTTTTGCCAGGCAAGAGGGGGCATAAACAAATATAACTGCTTCCTAGTATCTCCAGCAATGCTGCTTGAGACACATGATGAAGGCATGAGACCATTTCAGTGTCAGTTTGAGAAGGATCCATTAGTTGCTTTGAGCCACCTGTATGTTCTCTGGCATCCATGTTGCTAGCTGAAATCTAAGTCTGTAACAACTGCCTGGTTAGTTTATAATTCTGTATCAATAATTGTACTGGACACAAAACATGAGCCCTGAGTAGGACCGAGCAGTCAAAGGAAACTTCTCCAGCTCTCAATGCAAAGCCTGCGCAAACCATGGTTTGACCAAGCTTTGCTTCTGGAGATGTCTACTCTTGGCCAGTTCACCAAAACCTGCTTTTCCCAAGTGCACCTTAAAGAAATGTGTATATATGTTTTATTTTTATTTTTTTTAATACATCCTAAATTTGTGCTGTTCTGTCATACTTACGTTCATAACAACAAGAAGAGAGATTTGCACTATGCAAGAACTGGTCTTCCACAAAACATGCCACGCAATGCATGAATTCAACATCACTGTTAAACCAAGATATATTAAAAAATTCTAGAGAAATCACATAAATGGTTGAACATATTTTAAAGCATGCCATGCTCATCATGAGTGCTCTTATAATTTGGTTCTAGGTGTCCAGATATGATTAATTTCAATTTTATTTCTTTAAGGAATTTGTGTCAAGTGCCAAATGGTTACCACTAGAATAATAATGAGTGTCATCTGGGTACTGTTAGTACTTTAGAATTTTAGCTGACACTTGAAAGATGTAGTTTATTTTTAATAATAAAAAACAATAGTCTCTTTTCTATTTCACTGAACTTTTGAGATCAGGAGCAATATGTTTTTAATAGAGATAGGAAAAGCTTAATCTGCACTTACCTTTGGTTCAGACAGCCAGCAGTGACAATCCCGCTTTCCTTGTCAAGTTTCAAGAACTCACAATCCTTAATTTAAACACTTGAGAAATCTATGGAGCCTGTCAGTCTAGTTAATGAAGCCTCCTCCTTCCCCTTTTTTAAACAAAATCTGACTTTCTTTAAAGACCACTTAAGGCATATCTCTGATTATACAAACAGGTTCTGTCCTAGAAGAGGCAATAATCCAATAATAACCTCCTTAGACTTGTTTCCCTCACCACCCCCAAGAGTTCACTAAAGGAATATAGCTTCTTTAAAGGTAACTAGTCTAAAATAAGCAACAGATATATGCCATTTTCAATACAAAGAGTAGGCAGCGCTCAATACAAATCACTGCTTTGGTTAGAGGGGCTTCTTGATCCTAGGTAATTTAGAAGGTTATGTACATGAATTAGTAATCCCTTAAGGTTCTCTAATATATCTATCAAAATATACCCATTTTTCAGATATTTACAAGACATAAAACTGCTTGCTTAGCATCACACGGCATATATGAAAGCACATATATATGACAACAATACAAGAAGAGATGCTGCACATTCAATTGTTAAGAAAATTAGACCACATAATTAGGCAGATTTTAGCATCTGAACCTTGGCTCTCTAGACTAGTTAAAGCAATTTATGTAAGAAAATCAGATGTTGAAATAAGACTGATACCTCACTGTGCTAAGTGCTTTGAATTATGTATTGACATCTCTTTCTCAATGAATTTACAATCCCCCCTGGGACAAAACATAGTAAATGATTTTACACACAGTATGAGAATATATGGAACGTTTTTTCTCTTTCTGTTTTGCATTATAATCATAGAAGTCTGGAAGGAAAAGCACATCTGTGTAGCAGAAACGTGAAGTCACATAGCTGGGTTTGTATAAATTATTTAAATCTGAAAAATTGGGAAATATTAATGGTCCGATTGGCTGCCCATGGCCAACTGTCAATTCTGATAATTCCTATAGCCATCACAATAGAAGAGAATTTTGAGATGAAAAATTTACATCAACATTAATTAACATAATGTAAACTGTAATGACATAGTCATCTATATGCACTATGAACAGGCAACATGAAATACAGTACATATGAAAAGATCTATGGTCCTTGTTTACTGAGACTGGCAACACACATGGCAATAAAATTATGACCAAACAAGGGTGAAATTGGAGGCAGTTAGGAGCAAAGATTTTGAGAATAAGTTTAAATCAGCATAAAAGAGGTGAAGCTACAGGTGGATCTACATATACTGTACCACAGTCAGAATTAGGGATCAGAAGAGCTACATTAATCAGAGGTATTTTAAACATGTTATGGGAATGGG